GTTGCTAGTTCTGCTTCATTTCCTTGTTAATTGTTTAGCACCAATACACCAAGTCAAATTCCTTGTATGTGTAAATGTACTTGGCAATAAAACACGATTCTGATTCTGATTCTGATATAATAGTGGTTGGAGGGGCCCCAAATTTATTTTTGCCCTGGGCCCCCACAGACTCTAGAATCAGCACTGGGTGAAGCTGAGGACTTGATGAGAATGGATGGGTGAAGATTTGATGGATTCGGGCGGTGATGGAGGGGCGAACAAAACATCAGCATGAAGGAACTAAAGACAGAGAAAGTATCATATTTAAAAGAGGAGCAGAACGATGATAGGTTGAAAATGAGGGAGGAACGCCATGCGATTGGTTAGATGAGTTCTGCTGACGAGTCAGCTGATTATCCAATGACAGCCTGAGGATGACTGCGGAAACGTGAGTGAGCGTGCAGAAAGGGATGAATGAGAAAGACCCCGATCGTGAAGGCAGTTATATTGTCTTCCTGACTGAACTTAAGCTAGAGCTTCATGTAGCATTGTCTTGATGTTGTCATTAACTGTCTTTTTAAATATTTTTAAGCAGCATTTTTTGCACTGAACGTTTTATTTTCAGTTAACTTTTAATGTGCATTGAATTTTAATCATCGGTATCGGCCTGTCCAGACTTTTTTTTTAACTGGGTTGGCCCCCCTGGGGAGTGGACTTATGCAGGGGCTGCTGGACGCCTCCCTTTGGAGGTTTTCCAGGTGAACCCCACCAAGAGGAGACCCCGAGGTAGACCCAGAGTTCACTGGAGGGATCATATATCCTGTCTGGTCTGGGAACACCTCAGAATGCCCCAGGAGGAGGAGCTGGAAAAGGTTGCTGGGGGGAGGGACGTCTGGCAAAGTCGTTGGTGAATTATTGTTGGTGAAATAATTCCCACAAACGTAAAAGCATCAGATGTTGGAGTGAAACTACTTTATTATTGTCAGCTGGAATAGAATAACAATACACCAAAGTGTGCCTTTACTCAACAATAGAACAGTCTGCCAAAGAATCTGCAAACATACTCTGTTTGTTTAAAATTAATAAAAGTGAAGTCACACAAACTCTTCTGATCACATTCAGATAAACAGGAGCAACAAATGGACACGAGTTCAATCAGTGTGTGCCCGACGTTTATCAGCGCTGACTCCACATGGCATGAAAAGTGGTGTTAGAAAACTTTTAAATGAAATAAAGTTTAGAATCCTTAAATGGCTATGTACTTTTCTGCTGAGCTGCCGAATAAAAGCCGACTGAGGCGATGAAAATATTCTCGATAAATGTGTCCGAGGGCAATTTCACATTCTGCTCCCCCTGCTGGTCTGCCTTCACATTTGTAACATTGTCCCATACTCAGTTTGATACAGCAGGTGGCAGTATCCACACAGTTGGTTTGCAAGTCCGCCAAAAAGCAGAAAGAAGAAGAAGTAACCTTGGCAACCAATCGCGAGCTGAGTCCATCCTGCTAACTGTGGATGTTTTTGTTAATTTCTGAGACGCTAACAACGACCCTCTTCCTGCAGCATCTACCGTGCAGCTCAGAGGATGAAACAGGCCCGTGCAGCACGGATATGGCTGTTTATAAAGCGACAGGAGACGTTTAGAATGACGTCATATAGTAGTCCACTTCCTGGTTTGAGCATGGTTGCGTTCACATCTCCTGTGGACCGTACTCGAGGACACATGAATCATATGCGAGACCACCTTTTTTGTGTTCACACTGATCAAATGAACCGGACTTTGGGGTCAAGTGGGCCCGAGTCCCTCGTGTGAAACCACCCAAACAGAAAGAATGAGTAGAAAAACCTTCACTGGATTAATTCTCTTCAGGAAATAAAAAAAAGTTGCCCTCATCCAGATCCCCTGACAGCATGAGACTCAAACATCACCTTCTTCGAACTTGGGGAAAATGTCATGTCTTAGATGTCCTCCAAGGCATCTAAGACATGACCTAAAGGAGGATCTGTGTTGAAGAGTTGAGGTTTGTAGTTTTTGTGACGAGTTATGTGAAGCTGCATGGCACTTTGATTCCCAACTGGGGAATGTATTCTCTGTGGGTGACGCTTTAAATGAGCCGATCCTCCAGATGGGGCGTTAACGTAGGATTCTTTTATGAGGGGTATGTTGGGGACGTCACCGATGGAGAAGTGGAGGGGATGTGTTGCTTTTCAGGATCCACCAGCCAAACGTTCCACAACCGCCACAGAGAAGAAGCATCTACCTATCCATCCTCTTCTTCCTACTCCTCCTCTCTCTCCTCCTCCTCCTCCTCCTCAGAGGGCAGAACAAACACCTAGCTGTGGGAGTGTCACCCACCTGGGGGAGGGGTCACTGCCCTTTGTGATGTCATGAAGGGAAAATCTCAAAACGGCCTGTTTGAGCATACATTTTCTGAAAAGTGGAGGAGGCAGAAGACGGAGAGGATGGACTTTTCTCATCATTTGTAGAAAGAGGGGGGTTTGTAGAAAGACTAGAGACACATATGAGTGTTAGAGGAACATGGTGAAGTGGATTCAGCATCATATGAGACCTTTAAAGTCAAAATAATGAACAGCAGTGACAGACACTGAATTTGATCAGTCCATTCAGATTTGTTTTTTTAATATGATGCATTCTGGGATTGTGTTTGTTTTTTTGCAGGAGTTCGACCCTAAAATGGTGGAAACTGATCCCAGTTGAGGTCTCAGGTGGCCCTTCTCGATTGAAGTATCGTGTCTCACAAAGTTTCTTTAGGTGATGGGCTGGGATGGTGGGCCTCTAAAACGTTTTTTTTTTGCGTCGATTTGTTTCATTTGTGATGATTCTGAGTCCTTAGCACTGACAAAGTGTTTCAGTGTGTCTAAGGCCTCTACTTACATTACTATTGATAGTGGTGCAGCACGAACATCCATGTGGCGGACACAATCAAAACACATACATGTCAAATATAACATCTACATGTGGTTCATCGGTTTAACTTCGAAGGTACAAAATGTCACGAAAGACTCGGACTGGTGAACAAAAATACAGAATCATTGTTTTTTATTATTAACAGGCATTAATTCATCTAAATGTTGGCATCAAGATAGACTCATTTCCAAAAGATTAGAGAAGAAATGTTTTTTTTGCAAGTGTTCGTGGAATAAATGTTTACACCAAACTTTACAACGAGAGTCTGCAGCTGTCGCCATCAAACCAAACTGAATGTTTAAAGGACCAATCAGAGATGTGTAGTGAGTGAAATGATAAAGCGACTTTACTATATGATCAGACATTAAGGAAACATGCTATGTTGAAGTGCTGGCTTCTCTGACAACAATGCAGCAGCCAGTATGTCCTCCTTCTAACTTAGATTCTGGTCCTGAATGCTCTGGATCTGTTTGGACCAGAGAAGGTAGGCGGTTTTAAGCGCCCCCCCCCCCCCCCCCCCCCCACACGGCCGTTTTGGACGCCCCTCGGTTTGCCAGATATGAGAGCAGTTATCAGGTCAAACCAACAGGTGTTGAAGCGATGGAAGCGGGCAAGAGAACTGGTTCAGACAGAAGTGATTGTACCCGACCTAAAAAGCCTCTGCATGTTTCTAATAAGCTCTACGCGCAGAAACGTGCTCAAACTAGGATCAATATTGGAGATGCTTTTGAAAAATGGAGAGAGGTTAGAACGCAGAAAGGTTTACAGACCGATGCAGAGCTGGCTAAACACTGAAGCTTCAGTGTCCACCACATAACAACCTGCGTGAGCATCGACTCTAGAGAGGAGGGGAAGGGGGGAGACAGCTCTCTTAAAATTTGGACTGCAGTACCCATTTTAAACACTAGGGGTCAGAGTTACATACTGCTCATTTAAAATGCTTTTGAAATAAGATTTCATGACAGTTAGTTTGAATGCAACAGCTGCAGGATAGACGTCAAACTTCCATTATGGCTTCTGCTGCACCTTTTCTAACCCCTCTTGGAGATCTGTCGATGATAAATCTACAATCTCCTTTTCATGCATGTTTCTTCATGAGTCACAATCTTCATCTCTTTTAAAAACACATTCCTATGCAGAGTGTAAACTTTCCTCTGTCATTGGTCCTCGAGCGGGAAATCAGCCCTGAAAATACATTTTTCATTTTGGCACAAAAGAACACAAACAAGAAGACATTCCTTGGGTCACATTAAGAGGAATGAATCATTTTTAAATATAGACTATTTATATGTATATTTCATGAACACATCTGTTTCTATATCATCTTTATAAACAGTCACCGTTTTTGTTCTATCTACGAGGCATTCATACGAATAAATAAAAAAATCACATGAAGTTGTTTTAGATTGTGAAAAATGATCCTGCATTTTTCAAACCAGAAAGTGTCGTGATAAATAGGGAGTTACATGTGAGCTACTCATAAGTTGACAACCTGACCTCAGAGACCGAAAGAATTCGTCCCTGAAACAAAAAAAGTGGAAACAAATGTGAAGGCGCCGAGGAAAAATGAGAAATCGTAGCGAGTGATTTCCTGTTCCTGATGTCAGATTTTTCTTGGACAGGAGCGTACGACATCCTGGATCACATGTTCAAAACTCCTAACATGATAGCTTCGGTTGCCTTCGGCTCGAGATATACCTGCTTTTAACACGGACTGTAAATATTAAAGGACGAAGCCTAAGTGACGTCCCCCTCTGTTCCTGCAAGGGGCGCTGGAGTCCCATCGATGGCGGTATCCATGTTGGAAATGCTGTCTCAGTCCAACTTTCAGTCAACCTAACGACAGGCTGAGAGCTGGAGCTGAGCCGGGTTTTAAACCTCCTGACAAACCGTTACACCGCGCCCACCTGTCAATCAGGTCAGCTACACGCCTTATTGTGAATAACTCTTATCCTTCATCAAATCAAAACTGATGAGTCATCAAAACATTCACCCCCCGTACAGTGTGTGTCGATCGAGACATGAGCTAATCAGACCTATTTTTTTTTTTGAACCAGGCTGTAAACATGTTAATCTCTGCTGTAAAAACAGGCTTTTTTGAATGGGTGTGTATGTGACTTCCTGTGCTTCTGCAGCCAGCCTCTAGTGGACACTCGAGGAACTGCAGGATTGACTTTTAACCTTGTCTTTGTGTTCACAACCAGCTGCATCATGAACATACATGACTTTGCACAACACGTGTTACTGGAGGATACCTCTAGAGGGCGCACTAGAGAGAGCATTCTAAGAAACGACTCGAGGAATTTATTGTCATCTTAATCCAGAGATCAGAACTAAAGAAACAGTTAAAAGTCAGGGGTAACATCAGATCAGCTCAGACTAAAGACTAAAGGACAGAACCCACCGTCACATCATCCCTGCTTATCGACTGCTAGAATTGATTTAAACCGTCTGTAGATATTTTGACGGGCATGTTTGTCGCTGTGCGGTGACAATGACTCTTGATAATCAAGCTGTTGTCTTTTAATGTCCCTGCTGACTGAGTCACATCGCTTCTGCCTCTACACTGCCCCCTGCTGTTCATGTGCATGTTGAGATCACATTCATCTTTTGATGATGTGCACGGGGAATGCGCCACAACAATCCTGCAAACGTATATGCAATGTCAAAAGCAAGTATATCTCCAGCTTTAAACTTGTGAATGACAAACATGGCTAAAGATAAATCTAATAATCTTAAAAATATGAAACTAGATCGTTCAAATTGTCTTGACAAGTTTGCAAAACATTAAAATAATTGCCATGGGGATACACCACATGATTGCTCATATATATTATCTTCAACAGATGAAAAAATATTCAAGTGAATTCTCCTCACCATCTCAAAAAATATGCATAACGATATTTTTTTATTTTAAACAATTGCTACAAGCTAACGTCAATTCTCCGTCTGAGGACAGAAACACATGCTCAGATTCTCATTTATCCTCGGTGTCGACAGAACGACTGAAAAAGCTTTCGACGACCGGCTGCTGTTTTTTGTGTTTTTTTGAATTATTGCTTCACAGAATGTAGCAAATCTGTTTGGAAATAAATCCAGTGTTAATATCCCTGCAACGCTGCTACTAGCAAAACAGACGCCTATTTTGCACATTTTGTATTAAGTAAAAGTTTCTCCACATGGTTTGGATTTGAATTAAATATTAAATTGAAAAATAAATCATCCTCTGACGTGACATTTCTCAAATCTCTGAATCGAGCCGCAACATATGCATGTGTTTACCTCAGTAACAATCGTACTGCATTTTCATTCCAACTCCTCCGCCTGTGTAGCTCATGCTAAAGTCTTATCAGGTTGTCTGCTAATCAATTAGACGTTTTAATTAACCATGCGGATGCTACCAGCTAATGCTACAGTCTTACTGTTACTAATGCAAGATTATCCCCTCCCCCTCCCCTCAGAGTTTTAACATTAATCAGCTATTATAGATCACCTTTGGCTCCCTCCATTAGATGCTAACGACCATAATATTTACACACAAAAAGACATGAAGGATCGTAAAGTGCCCAAATCAAAATACACACATGCTCATCTTTAAACAGTTTGCACGCAGCGTTCCCTTTGAACTCATCCTATGTGTGAAACCAGAACCCTTTTATTCAGACGATGCAGAGTACATGTCATGCTTCCTCGCTCCCTCTTCCTCCTCCCTGCTAACAGAGTCGTAGTGCGATTAATCACCGGGTGCCGTGGCGGTATGTGGATTAGGGCTGTAATTTAGAATAAAAGGGATGCTTCTCTGCACGGCCTGATGCTGCTGTTAGACGTCGTGGGCGCTCGTTTCTGTGTTCCTCCCTCACAGCAGCACATGCCACTCGCTGTCTGAAGGAGAGGAAGGAGAAGACACTTGCTGGTAGAAATTGGCACAGTAGAAACTGTTATTAGACAACTGTTAGCCAAAGCTTTAAAAAAAAAAAGGATTTACAGCACGCCGTCCGCCTGGCTGCCATCCTCATCGATCATGTAAATAGTTAGCATTAGAATCTCACGTCAGGGCCACGACGCGAGGACAGAAACTCTCTCTGCGCTCGAACTGTCTGGTGGAAGTGAGAACTTAAAACGCACCGACATAAATTAGCACGATGAGGACTCGCAAATTTACACCTGGCTGTTTCTAAAGGATTGCATCCACACGGTTTCATGGTGGTGAATTTGACAGTTGCATGCATCTGTCATTTGTAACCTTATTCGATGTCTTGCATGATGTCTTGATCCAGTGACTGTTACCTGATTAATTCCATTTTCAACTCTTCATGAAAGGTCTTGGTTTGATCAGCACCTGCTCATGTACGACAGATATCTCAATTTGTGCATTGATACAGGAAACAACCAGGTGTAATGGCACCTAGAAACCCGTGAGGCTGTTAGTTTTTATCACCTGCCCTTTCTCCGAGAGATAATGACTCAGTAAAGCCGGCACACTAGACGATTTCAGGGCCCCAGTTTTGATCCTTGGGAGCTCAGAACCTGCTGGTTGCTCTTTTCAACCTGATGCTGATTCCCATACCAAGAATAGTCTGATTAACACAATTTAAATTATTGTCAGAAATGAATGATTAATGCCTAGCATACATCTCCGCTACATCTGCAGCCTTGTTGTTCATCATCACATTATCATTTTCCTAACCGATGCTCAGAGGCGTTCAAATTATGGTATTGTAATGGTGCATTAAGTAGTGTACTGGCCGTTACCTGACACCTCATTTATGGCAATATTGGAGGCCAATGAAGATACTGGAAATCTTAATGGAATAACTCCATTTGGGACCTCATTAATCCACTCATTAACCAATGTTTGCCGTGCAGTGCAGGTACAAAAAAACTGGTGAAAAAAAAAACCAGCAGCACTCTGAAATCCCCAGGACCAGGTCATATGTCGAGCTTCATTCATACCTACTCTGCTCTGATACATTAAGTACAAAATAAAGTGAACACTGAAGGGCCAAATGTGTGACACACACCCACACACACAAATTCAGAGTGTTCAAAACCAAGATGTCTTGGTTTGTTACAACAGATAGGCTTAATTCTTCTGCAAAAAGTCCTCTGTTGTCTGGCCGTTCACAACGTTCTGCTTGTGTCCCAAACAGCCAGAGGGCAGTGTCACTTCCTCTCCCGGACTAGTGGACGCAGAGATTTCACTCAGGAGCCGTCAACACAGAAAGACAAATAGCTGTCCTGATAATAAGAATCCAGAGCGGGGCTGTGAAGAAGGCGCGTAGCTGAAGCAAAGCTGAGCCCCGCAGTGTATCCCGGTCCCAGAAGGATGTGATCAATGTTGGCAACCGAGCCCTCCTTTGAAGTATCCTCATTAGGTGTTTTTTTTTTGTTTTTCATCAAAGAGATCTGCAGAGAGCAACAGTTCCCCGGGAGTCAGAGGGGGCGGTCAGTTGCATCAACAAAAGAAACTTGTTTCCCTTGAGTCCCGGGAAACAGTCGGATGAAATATCAAAAGAATTACAGTGTGTTTCCAATGACCCACGAATTAGAAGGATCACTGTCCGATCAGAGGGATGGTTCGGTCCAAAGCGTCCTCGAGTGACACGATTCTTCACCCCATTGCTGACCCTGGAGCTGCAGGGTGTAAGAAAAAGTCTCAATCGACACGGCAATGAAATCATAGTCGCATCAACAAAATGTGACGATAAGCGTCGAGTCTTATGATCGCTCACAACAGGGCCCGATGGTGCTCTCCAGGGACATCTGGGAGCAATGGCGGATGAGTGGCGCCATCGTTGGGTCCACCATGGAGGAGGTAGGGAAGAGCTTGTACCAGCCGATCACCATCGCACTGAGGTCCAGCTCCTCCAATAGGATTCGAGCCACGCCCATGAAGCATTTGCGGTCCATACGTCCATAATTGCCCCAAACGATCACCTGGGGAAGAGAATGGCAAGATGTCAGTTAGGAGCAAGAAATGTAATGTTCATACCATAAAACCAACGCTCAGCTGACTTAACTGCATGTGACGCCATAGTTCAACACAGCTAGCTGTTAGCATGTGGTGTTAGCTCAGTGGCAACAAGCTCTGATGAGCTGGTAGCATTCATAAGCTGCATAAAACATGGACGTCGTCTCAATGACGACATCCATTGTTTCTGAATTGGCAGTTTAAAGCCCAACGATGGCGGTAACCATATTGGAAATGCAGTCTTACTTTCAATCAGTATACTAGCAGGCAAAGAGGTGACGCTGAGGCCGTCCTTAAGCCTTCTGACACAGGGGTTCGCAAAGTGGAGTCGGGACCCACAGGGGGGGTATCCAAAGTATCCAAAGGAATTGTTTTTACAACCCATTATTGTAAAAATCAATACAACATACAGTATGTAAATTCCACCATGGCTGCACTTCAGAAAGGGACCCAGTGGGGCAGGGCTCTGTCCGATGGAACAAAACCTTGGCGCTGATGGAGGGCAGCGCACACAGACTATGTAGAAATTGGCAGCAACACCGGGAAGTTTGCAGCCATAACCAAAGGGGGGGGGGGGGGGGAGACTACAAATGAAGTGAAGTTACTCGATGTATTAGAAAGAGGCGTTTTCTTTCTAATCACAGTAATGATGTGGAACAATAGCCGATCAGTGGTGGTCTTACCTGAGACTAAAAAGCTCTCGATTTGAGACCTTCAAAAAGTTGTCTGAAGGCCAGCACCAATCCTGAGCATTACCACACTAGATTGACGTGATTAAGTGAAGCCTTTCTACTCTGATTCTTTGTGTCCATGTATCGTTAGCTTCTGCAAATATCGAGATATTTTAGTTTGTCTTCATGAAAAGAAAGAAAAAAATAAGCTTTTAAATGCAACCACGTGGATTGATGAACGTGAGTCAGACGTCTTTTTGTGACTATGGAGGAAAAGTTCACGAGGAGAAAATCTGACCTGAGGGAACCGGCAGAACAATCGAGTGGATTGAAGTTTGATCTTCTGATTGAGCTCCGGCTGCTTCAGGATCGCAAACGTCACAAAAGATGAACAAAGAGACGACTGATCGCTGAGTTCTGACGTCTCTCTTCTCTTCTTTTTCTCTCTTTCTTTCATTGTTTCTCATCGATTCTGTTTCCCACTGACTTATCTCCGCGCTCGGCTTTCTACTTCCTTCCCTCTCCTATTTTACAACCCCTTCAGTCTTGCATCTTACTTTCCTTTCCTCCGTCAGATATATTCATTTTCTTCTCTACTTGCAAACTCTTTGTTTTCTTTCCTTCACAGGCAGAATGTGCGACATGTTCCACATAAATATATCATAAATCCAGTATATCCTGTGTAAATGTCTCACTGAGTCATGACTGTCTACAATGAGTGAGAAGCTCGAGTCCCGCTGGCTGTGTTGTTGTCAGAGCCGTGTTTACATGGACGGGACGGCCGGCTCCTCCCCTTGTGTATAAAAGCTGTTTTAGTCAAGGACTAGAGAGAAGAAGAAAAACATACTCACTGATGATTTGGATGTTAGTAAGAGTTTTTAGATCACGCTCATTCTGTGTAAATGTACATGCAATGTGAAGCTACGAGCTAACTAAAGAGCGCTAACATTAGCATGCTAACACAACAATGCAGGACACTGGTGATTGCAGCACGAGTTAAAGGATGCCATTGAAGGGCGGTTGGAGGTGTGTTGCTGCACACTAAATGATTTTGGCCCCTTTCTGATCGATCTTGAATATTAAATATCAAACATGTTTGACGTTAACAATAACTGGTTGGACTGAATACCAATATTGGTCCCGATGGAATATCTGCAGTGGCCAATGAGAGTGAGCAAACCAAGAGGTGTCACCAACCAGATGTTGCAACTCTGCCAACCCTCCCTCAGCTTGTGCTGCACATTAAATAAAGCCACACATAATCCGTCTTCTCCGCCAGGATCTCATCTGTAACGTTTTTCTAGTTTTCAGTTTTTCGCTGTAAACAGAACACACAGCAGGACAGCCAGCTGACGACATCGATCGCCCTCCATATTTGTTTTCACTTCTGAAGTCATATTGGATCAAATGATTCACCTACAGATACGTGTCTTGTCTCCACATCCTCCTCGCTCCGTGTCTGATCGGGAAATAAACTCAAATATAAAACATGCAGTAAAAAGTAACGGAGTAGTGTCGGTCATCCAGTGGCCGTTGTCAATAAACTGATGGAGACAGGATGGACGTGCAGTGCTTTTCTTCTCACTTGCAAATGCTACATCATGTGTCAGGCCCGCTCAGTAATCAGCCGGTGGAAACAGTGTTCAGAGTCCTGCAGATGTGCCTCGGGCTGCTCCTCTCCGCTCGTTTCCTCACTCTGCAATTAGCCACTAAACGCCTCCCTCTTAATTATCCGCTGTCTGAGTCGCTGTCCTCCGACTTTCATCAAACTCATTCACACTGGATAATGGAAACGGCTGAAATCAGCAGCAATTTTTAATCTGTCACTTCCTCATTTAGCAGAGTGGAGAGCTGTTCATGCTGAGAGTTAATTCAAACCCTGCATCAATTTTTACAGCACAAACCTGAGTTAAAGGCAGGGTTGGTAATTTTGGAAAACTAGCATGATTTTGAAAGTAGCATTCCCTCAGTGATCCGTCTGCACCCCCTCCCCTCTGTGCTCCCATAAACGCCACGCCCCCTCACTTACCTGAACGAGCGCCGTTGCTGCAGAAGTGGACCTCAGCTCATCTCTTACATTGTGTAGAAACTACGTCGTCTCATGTCTCATTCAGCGGTAAGTAAACTCACAGTATAAACTCCGTCATCGGTGACGAGCTTTGAGTGTAGGCTAGAGCACGCAAGAGGTAGAGAGCGAGCAGGGAGACAGGGAGGCGTCTGATTGGTTCATCAGATTGGTACCTCGTGGCAGACATTGATTTAAGTTTTTACAGACATACAACTACAGCTACAGATGACAGATTTTCTTTGTTCCTTTTTCAGAGAACATGAGTTATTAAGTTCTGTCAGGAGCTAAAGACAATTTCAACCAATATCTTAAAAAGTGGATCTGGAGAAAATTACCAACCCTGACTTGAAGAGTGTTCACCTGCTGCAAATATGTGCATCAGGACTCTTTTTGTTGACGATCCTATTCTCAGTGAAAAGCTAAATTCAGTTCACATCAGAACTCTTATCACACATTGTTAACACGCGTAGTAAGAGTTTGTCCAACACAAAGTGCATGGTACCATCCAATGGTTCCTCTCTGTCACTTTTTAAATTATGAAAACACATCTTCTCTCTAGCTGCCAATCAGGGTGCCAACAAAGGGGTCAAGTACTACTGCTGTCTGATGAGCCGGCTCACCTGCACCACTTTCCCCTGAGGGCTCTCAGAGAAGACCAGGACCTGGTTGTAGAGAGGGTCCAGAGACTTCCTCACCGACTTGGTCTTCTTCTTGGCCACGCAGATGCCGTTCTCCAGGAGGTAAACTTTGATGTATGCCGCTGCAACCACAGAAGACGGAAACAAAAGTTAAGAGAAACTCTGCAAGATGGCTCTCAAAGTGTCAGGGCATTAAGTGAGATCAATAAAGGCGACAGGCTGTATATTGGGATTAGCTTCTATTAGAGGTTTTACGGTAGTCTCTGATGTAAACCTTCCCTCCATACTTTGCTCATGTGGTCATCCTCACATTTATCTGGTTTAGAGTTTCAGTTTTCCTCGTATTTGTTCTCATGCAATTAGGATCAATGGCTGATTTAACGTTATGCAACCGCCGAGGAGAACTCTGAGAGCTCAGAGTTTGTGGTTACACAATCCAACTTACAACACCACATGCCAGGTCTGCTTTGTTTCCTGCAGTTCAAATCAATGCAGCGGTGTTCGCCTTCATCACATGAAGAATAACGGGCAGAGGAATACAACAGCTGATTTTTTATATATTCTGGAGTCTACAGTTTTTAAGATCCTCAGCAGGTCTCTTCCTCTCCGTCAACTGCCTCTAAACTAAATCCTTCTCGGGATCAATGAATCCAATTAAAGTTTTTGTTTTGATAAATTAGATAAAAGCCTAGTTTCTCTACATATAAAGACGTTTTGATAATGAGAAAGACATTTAAATTCAATACATTGATTTCTATGGAGTCACAAATCTCTTGAAAAAACCCTGATTTATTTTGGGACTTTTTTTTGCCTTCATTAGAAAGACAGGACAGTGGATAGAGTCTGAAATCTAAGAGAGAAAAAGAGAAAGAGTGGGCAATGGCATAGGATAAAGAAGCCACATGTCAGGCTGCCTGCTATGAGCACATAGGCTATAACCACAAGGCCACCGGTACCGCAAAACTGGTAATTTTAACCTGCAAAACAAAGGAGTTGCTGCCTCAATCAGTGGGTTCTTTTTAAATGATCAGTATGTAACTCTGACCCCTAGTGTTTAAAATGGGTAGTGATTGTATCCCCCCCCACCCCCTTATAGTCGATGCTTACACAGGTTGCCATGTGGTGGACTCTGAAGCTTCAGTGTTTAGCCAGCTCTGCATCGGTCTGTAAACCTTTCTGCGTTCTAACCTTTTTTCAAAAGCATCTCCAATATTGATCCTAGTTTGAGCACGTTTCTGCTCGTGGAGCTTATTAGAAACATGCAGAGGCTTTTTAGGTCGGGTACAATCACTTCTATCTGAACCACTTCTCTTGCCCGCTTCTATCGCTGCAACACCTGTTGGTTTGACCTGATAACTGGTCTCATATCTGGCAAACTGAGGGGCGTCCAAAACGGCCGTGTGGGGGTCGCCTTAAAACCGCCTACCTTCTCTGGTCCAAACAAATCCAGAGCATTCAGGACCAGAATCTAAAGGTGCCTAAATGTCCTTTGTCAGTGTTTTAACGTTATGTCCTGAATTTAATGGCAGCTGCTGTAATGGTGACCTTTTCTGCAAAGGATTAATACAATTTCTAATAAAGTATCGAGCATAAAAAAGGCAAAATAACAACTGAAGAAATGAAATTATTTTTGATGAAACCTACAAAACACACACACACAAACACACACACACACACACACACACACACACACACACACACACACACTCCGTTGTCACGTTTGAGTGTTTCAATCAGTGGTGGAAATATAAACAGCCTCTCTGACAGCGTGTGTTTCCCTGGGGAGCTCCCCGATGGACGTTTCCACTTGGGGAGATCCCAGAACTGTTTGTTCCAAAAACCACTATTGATCCATGGAGCTGATGTCAGACTCAGTCCACAGGGCGCCAAACCAATAAGTTGACAAAGGGTGACCCAGAAAAACCACTATATTTGTAAGTTATTAAAAACATTCTGAGATTTTTTTCTGCTTCCCATGAACTCATCATTACTCTGAAACGCAGAGTTTCAGAAACCCTGGACTGTTTATCCTGCACTGATTTTGTGCAGCTCTGTTTGAAATCAGAGCATGGTGCGGCATGTTTTCACTGCAGCATTATTTAGATTTTACTAATTTATCTCCTCCTCTCACCGTCTGTTAGCTCCCTGTGCAATATAAAAGGCCACTTCCTCCTCTTCATTCATACATTTTTTATCTCTCCAAGGACTCTGAAGATGTTTGTGGAGGAAATAAAACGACCACTGCAGGTTGTTTTTGATTTGAATCAAGACATCAAAACTTCAGCTTCAAACAAACAAGAAGAGCAGGTTTGATTGTTTTGGCTCCTGAGTGGACGGAGGGGTGTGGACTCACCTGGAGGTCCCTTTGAACCTGGCTTCATGGTGAGTCCTCTGGCCTGGACGACCTCCACCTCCAGACCCCCATTCCTCTCCGACAAGCCGATCTCTATGTCACCTGGACGGGGGGAAAACACAGGTGTGTGTTAGAAACTTCAGAAACATCATTATTAGACAGTTTGAAAAAAGAGTAAAGAAAATATACAAAATATCTTTAAACTTTTTGGTATATTTACAGAGAGAAGGTGCCTCAACAGCATGAACATTTTAGTATTTATATTATTCTTTATGAGTTTATGACTTCAAGGCATCAGGCTGCATGGTGGTGAAGTGGTTAACGCTGTCCCCTCACAGTGTGGAGGTTCCTGGTTTGATTCCCCGTCTGACAGGAGTCTCTCTGTGTGGAGTTTGCATGTTCTCCCTGTGCATGTGTGGGTTCTCTCCGGGTACTCCGGCTTCCTCCCACAGTCCAAAGACATGCTCGGTAGGTTAACTGCTGACTCTAGGTGTGAATGTGAGTGTGACTGGTTGTCTGTCTCTATATGTCAACCCTGTGATTGGCTGGTGACCCGTCCAGGGTGTAACCCCGCCTCTCGCTCAATGACAGCTGGGATCGGCTCCAGCCCCCCAAGGACCTCGAATGAAGTGGACTATACCCTCTGTACATGTGGCACACACACTAACCACTAGGCTACCGGCGCCCCAACAAACTTTGGTTTTCACAGGAATAATGCATGGGACACTTAGCAGAGCAACGAGGATGATCGCTGTCAGATGAGGTCCCCTTAGGGAGGGAGGTTTCCTACTGTCATTGCAACATTTGTACATTTTGAGTCACTGCTTTGATCAGCCTTCAGGGGCCCCCCTAATGGCCTGGGGGCCCCAAACAGTTGCCTGCCTTTGCCTGCTGACAAGAAGCACTTCTGTACACGTACACATCTTAAATGGAGTTTCTGAAAATCTTCACCCTGGAAGGAGTTTTACTAAAGGTGAGTTCTGACCTTTGAAAAACTAAAGGTGAAAACTACGGGTGGACTAGGTCTCAGAGGTCAAGAGGTGCACTCAAGCTTTTAAAATCAGATCATTTTGTGATCATATGAAAGTTTTTTCTGCACTCCGCTCACTGAGAGTCAGTCATATGTCCCTGAAATGACAAACCTTTGAAAGTGACAAAGAGCAGACACCGGCCAAAGTTATTCTGAGTCCTCTGATGTTATGTAATGTTGGACTGGACTGCAGCTTCGGAGTCACTGTAGTCCAGCCAAGGACGGCGCCACGGTGCCAGTGAGGAAACTGACCCACTTACAGTAGATCACTGGAAGACGGGCTGGGTATGATATATCAGGTTTATCTACAGCCTGTAAGGGGGTACGTGCAGGGGACGGAAACTCTGCAGTGGGGTCAAAATTGATAAAACTGGAACTTTTTCTTATGACAGCGTGAAATGATCTCAGCAGATTTATGACGACATACAGGGTCAGATATAGACCATGGTGGTGATGGTCTATGTGGGACAGACAAAGACCATGGTGGTG